TTTCTTGAATTTTTTGTTTAGTCATCTCATCTTTGTTCATTGCAATCAAAAAACGCGCGCCGCACACCTAATACCATCACCATTGTCCCTACACAACCCTCGCAAGGGCCTTGATACTTCTCGTACGTTTTCAATCGACCATGTTCCTTGTCGTCGATTTTTGCTTAACATTTTCTCGCACTGCTCGTTGCCAGGCAGGCAACAAACCAACACACAGATGAAATAGCTCGCGCACATGTGCATACTTGCACACACACTCACTCCTTTAGTGCACACGGATTGTGCACTGCGACCCCCAATCTGCTCCCCTAATCCGCACCCCGCCTCTTCTGCAGACTTCATTCTTCTCTTTCCTTTTTTACCACTAGTGCGCCCCACACTTGGCAACAACAACAACAACGCAAGCTCAAACACAGCGCATACGAATAATTGACGCCATGCAAAGGCAAAAAGCTAAAAATGAGTAAAGGCTGGTGCAGCAGCAATAACAAAACTGCATGCTCAGGGAACGAGCTGACCTACACTGATGGCTAATAAAATGTATACACATATTTGTATCACATAAGTCATTGCTAATGCTGGTGAAAATTAAAAACTACAAAATTCTAATGGTTACAAAAAGTTTTAGACGTGCAAAATATTGCATTAAAAAAAAGTAAATTTTGTTTTGTCACCCAATTGAAGTCGAATTGTGCCCACTTTTTTACGCGGCACTGTGTGTAAGTCTGCTGTTACACGCGCCAATGTAAGTTCTTTTTCTCTCCCCCCATCTCTCTCTCTGCGTCTCTCTCTCTCTCCCTATCTCTATCTCTCTCTGCCTCTGGCGCAAATCGCATTCATGCGTGCGCGTGGGTATGTGTGTGTGACTCGTATGGGACGAACAACGCACGACTTGTTTGCATTTACTCTACGCAAATGAGCGGCGTTGCTGTTGCCGCTTTTTTTCAAGGGTGGGGTGCGCTATGATTCTGTAGGGTGTATGTGGTGTGGGTCGGCACCCGCAGAAGATCTCCCCGTTCCGCTCACCAGAAACATTTGCGCACAACTCACTCTCACTTGATGATGCTCCGCTGCAGTTTTTACATTTTGCTATGCTTTGAATGACAACGAGTTTTGATGCAACGGTTGTTGTTGTTGTCGCTATTATAGAGAATGGGAGGACTTCTGACGAGTTGGCAACAACATAAAAATCACAGCACACAAATTCGCATGCCAACTGAGCGTTCGCTCTTGCTCTCGCTCTCTGGCACCCGCTATTGTCTGGCCCACTCTTGCGCTCTCGTCTAGTACTGCTGCTCCCGCTGCCATTTTTGTTGTTATTTGCTGCTGCTGTCAACGAGTGGGGTTACTGACTTTGCAGCAGCCAAGCACAGTCAGACTGCTACCGTTGCTCTGCATATAAGTGTGTGTGCAAGTTTGTATATATGTATAAGTGTGCATATCAATGTAAGTGCGTGCGGGCAGCGCCGTTAGCAACGAATGCAATATGTGTATGAGTGGGAAGAGGATGGATGCAAGGAGCGACAGCAGCAGCGGCTACGACGTACGCTCCGTCTGCATTAAGTTTATGGCTTGCATTTTTGGCTCTGCTTCGGTTTTTCTGTGCGCAGCCTCTGCGGTTGTCTAAGTGTTGAGTGCATTTTACACTTTTGCTTCTTTGCTTCGCTTTCGTTTTGATTTGGCGCCAAAACACGATACGAAAACAACTACCGTTAAGGTTCAAAGAACTCTCTAGACTAATTACGACTCAAATCATAACAAATTTATTTTCATACAATATATGTATATATATGCACATCCATATGCATATGTATGTGTGTGTGTTCTTCCTATAAATGCTTTGCTTAGAATTTATCATGACTGCATTGAATCAATAGCACATTGTAACGGGCGTAAGTGAATTAAAGCATCATTAAACTGAACATGTCAATAGACAACAACCAAGAACAAAAGGCAACTGCAATTGCGAAGGACATTATAATGACCATGATCAAAAACAATAAACAATATGCTTTACAAGAAGATACCCTGTTATATAATTTACCCATAGTTTATAATACTCTGTTAGACCACATTTCGTGTACTGTGTCGTTGCTGCCATCTGCAATGTAATTATAAAAATTTGATCATAACTGACGGTCAGATTTTTAGCAAAGCACTGATAACTGTAATAAATACACACAGACCTAATCACTTTTTTGGTCTGTGGTCAAAACTTGAGAAGAATACTGTGAGTGACCCACAACTACCAACTGATACAGTAGTGGCTAAATATATGTATCCACATAAATAAATATGTATTCCCTTTCTTGAATTTCATTAAGTCAAGCTCAGGATGATTCATTTATATAGCTACTCACAGCGAATCGATTAACAAACTCGAAATTAAATATAAATAATGATAAATAATTGCTGCGATGGATGTGAATATTGTTAGCATAAACGAGTTAAGTAGAAAATGTGCCATCTTTTTTGAACGTCACTGTATCAGAAGCTGTGTACATGCGAAGCAAAGCGCAGACTGATTGGCAGACGAGCGGGTGCAGTTTAAATGGGTGGACTGAAAACTGAAGGTAGTGGAGTGAAGTTGTGGAGGTCACACCAAATAGCCAGCCATGCATATGGAAAATTTACTTGAGCACGCATCGGTAGCACTGCAAAGCAAAATAAACTCGATACCCCACCCACTCTCCTACACTATGAGTCGTGTATTATAACTGAACACCATCATAGACACAGACTCAGCCATAGAAAATATATAGATATTGCTGTTCTTTGCATAAAAGCTGTCCACCAAATCAGAGCATCTGCTTCATAGCTCTGCTTGATACGAAAACAATAACAAAAGAGAGAATGGAATGGAGAAGTAACGCAGATTAAGAAACTCTCCCACATACACCGAAACACACACACACACAGTTGCAAGGCGATTGAGCCTAGCAACCAACAGTAATGAAAAGAAAAGTTGTAAAAAGCAAAGAGAGAAATAAAAAACAAAGCAATCATTGCACTTGTCCTGCACAACAGCAGCAGTCACAGCTGCAGCAAAAAAAAACAGCAGCAAGATCTCACGGGACTACGCAAGACTATTCCTGTTGCTATGTAAAAGTTTTTTTTTTCAAAAGCTTTTTATTATGTTGTTGTCCTACCGTGTGGCCCAAAGTGGGCGTGGCAGTCATTTCCCGCAATTACGCCTACACTGACAGAGAAAAATTGTGAGAAAGAGCGGGCGAGTGGGTTGATGATTTGTGCGAATTTATGAAATATGGCAACACTGCGGCTCTCACACACACATGCATATATGCTGTAACAGATATACGCGACCAGCCTGGGAGTATGCTACACTTTTTGTACAGGCCAGCAAGCCTCAGGCAACCTATCAGATTTGGGCGCATAAAAAAAATGATGTCTTTATTGTTATTATTCTTAAAACTAGTTAAAAAAAATGGAATATCAATTTAAAAAATACATTTGGGGTTTTCTTATTTTTTGTTATGCAAGGACTTCTGATTCTTATTATTTTTTTAATTTAAAGCAATAAAATTATGTTTGTCATACACATTTTTGGCCTGAATTTGTTCGTGCACCGATAACAGTGTACCTAGCAGTGAGGAGCAGATAAGCCAGCAAATAATGACAAATGGCCAATCAATTACCAGCGACAGATTCTATTTTTGCATTTCTAAAATGATTATTTTCTTATCAGCAAATTGATTACTGGTTTTACGTCTGCAATGTCCTGCATTTCACCTGGTAACTCTGCGCCTTAATAGACTCCTTCCTCTGCTAACTACAGTAAAAGCTCCCATTACGGACAGATCCCATAAACGAAGAAAACACCGCGACGTTTGGAGTGCGGTTAGAAGAAATTTCACTGTACTTGGATTGTCAATGTCGAGGCTGCAGCATCGATGCGCAGTGGGGTTTTTCAATCAAACCACATGACATAAATATGAAGAAGCAATCGTTCTATATATTAGGTACAATTGATATAAAGGATGAAGCACAAAATACTGAAGATCATAAAGTTTACTTAATTATACCAATTTAACTTTGTATTTTTATCAATTAGCAAACTATAAAACAGACTGTTTTTTCTAATTAGATATCATAGTACCACACATTTATGTTCATTAATAACGAGCTGCTTTTTAATATGCGATTATTGATTAGTCAACGCATTGAAATAATGAATTTTTATCGATTAATCGATATATTTTACATGTTCAGGGCTTTCACAGAATGTCATTTTAAGGATATTTGCAGATTGGAAATTTGTATTGTTATTCCATTCATTAAATTTTAAATTTCTTGAAACATCACTTCAATTTAATTTGTTATTTTATTTGCCCAAGCTTTACAAAATGTGGCTTAGCTAAATTTAATAAAAATCAATGAGAAATTGCCCACTGTATTTAATGTCGTCCTTCAACGTCTGCAGCTCTGCCAAATTGGTTTCTCGGGCTTTTAGCTGTTTGCCTCTTTCTGTGTGGGGTTGCCAGATGATTTTAATTTTTCATGCGACTGTACAGAGTTGTGCAAATGAATGACGTTTGTCTGTGTGGGGTGTGCTTTGATGGTATGCGGCTTTGGCATAAAATGTTTCAAGTATCATTTATACGAGTATTTTATTTTTACTCCTTGCAAATAAAAACGCCGCTAGGATCCCAGAACCGACACCCGACCACGCCTGGACGGCTGTGTAAATTAAATTGTTTCCGTTGTCGTCGTCGTCGCACACACACACACACGCACACACAGTACATATACATGTATATACACATGCATAGATGTGTATATACTCAGGAGTGGGCCGAGATTGAATTTTATTGCCCCGGCGACAGGCGCCATTAACCAAAGTTGTAGCGCCGGGATGTCAGAATTGTCAGGATGCGGATTGCGCTAATTATGAAATGACATTTTGGCCATTGGGCGCCGATTTAAATGTGTTTTCGCTTGTCAACTTAATGCAAATTATTGTTTTTTTTCTTCACTTGCAGGCGGCCACGCCAAATGATGTTGCAGATGTTGCGGGCAATATCGTTGTACAACAACAACAATTACAACTACAATTCTATTAGCAATAGCAAAAGGCCGACCGATACTAGCCAGCATTAGGAACAAAAGCAACGCGAGCAACAAATAAGCCACACACATGTTGCTGCTACAATTGGAAAGACCACAACGAGGAGAGCAACATCAACTAAGATGCTCAGCGCTGCTCATGGAACAGCAGCAGCAGCAGCAACAGCAACACACACTGGAGCAGCAGTTGCCACAATTGCCGCTGGCGAAACTTATGTCATAACAAATAAACATCTCCATCAGCAGCAGCAACAACAGCAGCAGCAGCAACATTTTGTTGTTGCCGCCAACACAATGGTTATACCAACAACTGCAGCCACCGGTATACCAACAGCAACAACAACAACGACAGCAACAACCACAGCAGCAGCAGTCGAGACACCACAGCAGCAGCAACGTCAGCAGCAGCAGCAGCAACATGTTTTGTTTCAGCCACAATTACAGTTACAAACAGCAGCAACACCTCAGCAGCCAACACAGCCGCGCCAGCATCCCAAGAAACGAAAATTTGATCCAGCTGAGCTGGACAAAGCCGAGCAACAGCAACACCAGCCGCAGCAATTGCATCAGCAACAGCACACGATGTACAAGCAACAAAAACCCGCCGAGACGAATGGCAATGGCAGCGATACGCTCTCCAATGGCAATATTGCTGCCGTGCAGCAAAGTGCGTTAGCTTTGCGTAGCATGATTGTCAGTCCACCGTCAGCAATGAATTGTGCAGGTGCAGGCGCCGGCAACAGCAATGAAATCAGGCAGCAACAGCAACATCTGCAGCAGCAGCAGCAACAACGTATTATAATCGCATCGCCGCTGCAACATGCGACTAGTACTTACAAGCAACATGTTGCCAGCAGCAACAATAGCAACATCAGCAATCAAGCAGCAATCAATCATTCGCGCACACACACGCCCGTCTTCTACCAGCAACAGCAGCAATCACGTTTTAGCTTTAACTCACACCATCAGCAACATGTACAGGAACAACAACAACAGCAACAGACGCAGTTGCAGTTGCACCAACAGCAGCCGCAGCAGCAACACGAGCCTGTTGCTCTACTCGATCTCAGCGAATGGACCAACACGCGTGTCCTGGCCAAAGTGGGCAAATGCTATGCGCCCGGCAAAATACAGCAAGTGCAAGAGGCAACGACCATGACCACGCCCACAGCCACGCCCCACTCAATACTCGTGAAATTTGATGCCACCGAATTTGGTCAGCAACTGTATCAGGATGTGCTGCAGCAAGGACGCTACAATGTGATACTGGATGCCAGTCCACCGATGGCTGATGTAAGTACCTAACTACCTTATCCTACAGATCTATGGAGAAATCCTAACTTAAACTTTACTACTGCAGATCACGCTGGAGGCTCGCGTCTGTGTGCGTCAAAGTCTCGAAGGACGTACCGTTGACTGCGTGTATGTGGAGGGCATCATTATGGAGATCAACCAGGGAACCAAGCAATATACCGTGCAATTAGTCAATGATGAATTGGTAAGTGCAACGTGGAGAATATATCAACTCAAATTTAATTTAAATCGTAAGCTTTAATTCTAAACAGAAATATTTTTACTTGATTATAAATCTGTTTGAATTTGAAAATTTCAATACAAACTTTTCTCAAGCCTCAACCCTAATTAAGTAAAAATATACAATGGTTGCTTAAGATTTACAAAAAAAAACAATTGAAATAAATTTTAAAAGCCTTTAAATCAAGCAAAAAGAAGTAAAACCGAAAAAGTTCTAGATTCTCAGTATAATGCGCTTAGAAAATATTGCAGTATAAAAACCTCTATGCATTTTAATATATGTAAGTGTTTGTCCAGAATGACGCGATTTGCTGCCTGATAGATTAATTGATTGACTTTAGCCACTTAATGTGATGTAAATGCATGCTAAGGCGGGTTTTCGGTAAATTCCATCCGCCCATTTTAAAAAATGTGTGAAAAAGCGTTGTGTGAATCTTTATTGTTCAGAGATTTTGACAAATCCGAAGTGGTTAATGACAAAAGGCGCGGAGCAAAACACCTGGCCCGGACCAAACCGAGTAATTCTAGTATTATGTAGGATAGAAACCCTTTAAGAAATAGTTAGGTGATATTTGCAATATGTTTATTGAATTTCCATTGTAGCCCAATACAAAAGTTGTGCGTCGCGCGGATTTGCGCCTGCTGCTGCCGCCCTGGTGGGATGAGCTGAACGAGCTGACGCCAACGGCAACACCGCCGGCAACAGGCGTCAAACGGAAACCGGAGCAGGCATCCGGTGGCAGCAGCAGTGTGGCATACCCAAAGGCCTTTGTGGCCACGCGGTACGACGGCAAGCTGCCAACGAGCACGCCAACCGGTGGACAGCAGCTCCAGAAACATGAGTATTATCGAGCGGCTGCCACGTCGCCGTTCCAGGGCGGTGCGGTGCCGCCGCCGCCGCCGTTGGCGCTTGTGGAGCAGCAGCACCACCACCACCAGCAGGCCAATGGTCTGCCGGACATTGTGATCTCGCCAGGCAGCAATGGCCAGCAGCAGCACCACCACCAGCCACTAAAAATGCACGTGCCATCGCCAGCGCAGCAACAACAACAACAGCAGCAACAGCGCAGCTACGACGACTACGACTCCGACGATGAGCTGAAGCGCGTCGGCATCGACTATTCACCGGCTGCCGGCGATGTGGATGCCGAGAAGATGAGCGCCGGCAGCAAGCGCAGCAGCATGCAGAGCCGCGGCAGCACATCCAGCTTACTCGATCAGAGGCTGACACCACGATCTCATCCAGCAACTCCAAGGTAAGAAAGTTCATACGGATTTTTTATCAGTGCATCAGATAGAAAAATAACTTGCCTACATCATAGATAGGGTACGAAAGTTCAAAAAGTAATACGTATTTATCTAAATCTATATAAAAGTGTTTGTCCTGACAGATTGATGACGAACAAACCGTAAGAACTAGGAAGGAATTCTACCAGGAAATTTAATTAGTTTTCAATAAACGGTTGTATTAAACTTTTTTGTTTAGCATTTTGACATATCTATATGGAATATAATTTGAGGCAAGCTAGTAGGGAGAGTATTAAATATGCACGGGCGTAAAATAGCAAAAAAAATAGCAATAGCTAAACGGCATTTTATGCCCAGAGTGTGGTTTAAAGTGAACCACTTTATCCCGGTGGAACAATGATTCTCTGCTGAAATAAATATTATACTTCAATTGCTTGGAGGATATACTCAGTTACTATACGAACACCTAGATGTTTGATGTTTGTACGGACATAAATTTTCAAAATTTGCTTTAAGAACCATGTACCGAAATCGATTTTTATCGATATTATTAAAACGGCAGAAGATATCAAAAATAGTAGAAGCATTATAGTTATCGAGATCGACGCGTTCATGCTCGGCTGCCTGTAACATGCATTTGCACAACGCAATTATACCAATTCTGAATTGGAAAGGGTATAATTGCAGCCATATCAATATACACGCGCTTAAGAGAATCGCGTTACATTTATAATTACTGCACATGTTCTCTTGAATTTGTTATAAAGAGAACCGCAAAAGCTTTGATCGCTGCCGTCGTTGACTGCACTGTCTGCGGTCGTAACCCTTTTAGTTGACGTTATTTAGAGCATTGCTTAAACTCAATACATTAATTACAAAAATGTGAATGTGTGTGTGTGTGTGTATTAAGGAGAGTATTTTCGTTGACAGATCTCAGGCAACGACGCCGCATCGCTTCAAGAAGGGCGACATTGTGGAATCGGAATCCGGAGTGCGCAAGAAGTACAATGGCAAGCAATGGCGACGTCTCTGCATGCTGTGCATGAAAGAATCTCAGCGGCGGGGCTATTGTTCTAGACATTTGAATCAGAAGGGCAGCAATGCGCTGCCTTCTTCAACGGGGCCGGGTCGTTTTCTCAGGTGCGCCTCTAAACTTAAATGCTCTGTGGTGATCGCTGCTGTTCTAATGCTCTCTTTATCGTTTTGCTCTCTCTCTCTCTCTCTCTCTCTCTTTTCCCTTTTACTCTCTTTTAGTGATAGCCGCTCGAGCAGCAAGACGCAAAACGATGAGGACAACTCTCGCGATTCGGAAACGTCGCCCAACCATCGGGTTACGGGTCGCTATGATCAGGAGGAGACCGATGTGGCCGCCATGTTAGGTACGTGCAACTCACACCTCTTGACTTTTATGACGCCGCAGCACTGTTGCTGTCGATCCTCCTCCGTTCAATCATAAAAGCAACACATATTTATTTTTTTTTCGAAATTTATTCATACTTCGCTAGCATTCATTTTCAAGGCTGGCTTTCCCAGCTAGTCCTCGCCTAAACTGGGTTGGGTTGCCTTCGCAACTGAGCGCCAGCTTTAGCTGTTAATCTGTCTGTCTGTTCACGCAATTACCCACACAGCTACAAACGACCAAGAGCAGATCGTAGCGCAGCCCAGCCTCTCGACTACAGCTAGGCGGTTCTGGCCTGTTTTCTAAGGCGCTTCTAGAAATGTGCGTTTAGTTTCGGTAGAAGAGACTTTTTAATGCGCTACACTTAAATATTTTAAGCATCTTGAGACATGTTCTTTTAACTAACATCAGCAAAACATAATTAAAACTCTCATTTAGTCAGCGGATAAAGATATATTTAAATATATATATTATTATATATATATATATATTTTTGCATTCAATCGGAGTAAAATAATTGTTTTCTTTTCTTAAATGTTTTTTATATAATTATGATGTCCACAAAATCATAAGTAGAATGCAAGAGCGAACTCTACGACAATCTTTATTTATTCTGTACTTTTAATGCGAATTTTCTAGCGTGTGATGCGAGAAAGCAGTATATACATATGCACATGTACATATGTATATCGGAAATAGAGTTAAAATTGTAGTGTACCCGACATATTTAGGTGTAGCGTATTTAAACGATTGGTGTTGCCAAGACTTTCACATTGGTCCGAATGAATTTCCAATTCTTAATAAAAATGCCTATCATAAAGTTTTATAGCAGCAGCGCCGCTGCTGACCATTTCATACACATCAATGCATACACACAGACTCTCACTGATAGGCACACAAGCACACCTCTCTGGATAAAGGTCGTTGGTTTTGTTAAGGTGTTCTCAGGGGCCGTGGCCGATGAGGGTTTCTATTGTTTGACGTGTGCGTGCAGCAGCAACAACAATAACAACAACGTTAGCTCTTCTAGCCACTCGAAAGTATGACCGCAGCGTGATTTACACGCAAAAGCAAAATGCAGACGCAGCGACGTCGACAGCGACGCGTACGCATTCCAATGCACCTGCAAGCGATCAATGCAGCGACGTCGACGCCGCCACTTGAAACGAACAATGCAGCGCAGCCGAAACAAAAGCGCGCTGCGTGCGAAGCGCAACAGATTCTTCTTTTCTCGTTATTTGCCCTGCCTTTGATTCGTTTTTACCTAAACAAAAATGCACTTGAGAGAGCGCACTCACACGCACACACTGACACAGACACACACACTCATGGACATTAACCGACACACAACAGCTAGCAGCACAGCACCCACACAGCCAAACAGTAACAGACACAACAGGTAAACAAACATGGACGTCGTGAGCGAGCCCAAGAGAGCAAAATGAGCGAACAACTGACGATTGTGAGAGCGGCGCTCAGTTTATGCTGTCGCTGCCCGCTCAGTTAAACTGCTGGCTGTTCTTTTGACGTCGTCGTCGCATTTTATGTTGAAAACTGTCAAAGGCAAGGCAAGAAGACAGAACAGAACGCGGCGCAAAAGCAAAAAAAAAGTGAATACCGATGCGAATGCAGCAGACAAAACGAATTTGACAACGACGACAAAAAGTTTTCAAGCAAATTAAATACGAAAATATGTGCCGAAAGTGATGCCAATCGAAGTGCTTGTTCTTTAACTGAGGAGGGGGCAGCCAAGCAGTCAGCAGTAGCAACGGCAGCAACAGTGGCAGTGGCAGCGATAGCGATATGAACGCGTTCCAGGACTTTGAGCTGGGCGCTAAATTATATTTACAGTGCTTATGTAATAAAAACTGAAATGAAAACAATCGTGTTTGCAACAAATATCTAATACTCCCCCTCCAATTCTCTCACCCTCTCCGTCTCTCTTTCTCTGTCACTCTATCTTTCTATCTGCAGTGTCACTGAGCAGCTCGCGCTCTGCAACGCCATCGTATACATCACCCGTGAATCATCATCCACTGAATGCCATCGCCCACTCCCCGGTCAATGTGTCCAATCATAGGCAAAATTTCTTTACGCCCATTGCGAACCAGTCGCAGCAGCAGCAGCAACAACAACAACTGCAGCAGCAGCAGCAGCATGTGACGACAACACCCAGTCCAGTGTTGTATAATACAAACAACAACAACAACAATAATGGCTGGGAGAGCAGTCAAGCTGTGCAGCAGCAGCAGCAGCAACAACAACCTCCACCACCGCCACAAACGGCAGCCGTTTCGCTGGTGATGCATGCACCGCCGCCACAGCAGCAGCAGCAACAACAACAACAGCCACCTGCCGCTCATCTGAATGCACTGCCGGCTCCAGCAGCTCCGCCCAGCAGCAGCACCCTCGGCCATGCGACCAGCGTCATACGCATCTCCAGCAGCCAACAGCAGCAGCACCAACAACAACAACAGCAACTGCAACAGTCGGCACCAAATCTGCAGCAGCAGCAGCATGTTGTTGTATCCACGGCCGGCCATCAAACCTTTCATCCTGTCATCGTGAATGCGGCCCAACAGTCGCAGATTCATTCGCAAAATTCTTTGCCTGCTTCCGTTGGGCAACAGCAGCAGCAGCAACCCCCGCCACCGCCGCCGCCCACATCGGTTACGTTTCATTCACATCCGCCAACCACGCCTACATCCGTAACAGGGGCTGTGCCAACGGATAATGCATTGCCAAAAAACGGTAAGTGCCAAAAAAAACGTTTGACCCTTTTCGAGTCATTTAAATAATCGCGTGCCTACAAATCGATAACAAATTTGATTTTACAGTTGATAACTGATTATGTATTATCGATTAAATGCAGTTATAGTTTTAAAGTCGATGTAAAAGAAGACAGTTGGACTTTCAGTTTAAATGTATTTAAGAATGCTTACATAAAACAAAAATACTAAACAATTCCGCGAATCGATGCGCGTTTGTAAATTGTAAAATACAAACATTTGTTTACATTAGTTACGCCTTAAAAAATAAGTTTTCGTGTGAACGTACAAACAAAATATTATTGTAAAGTTTTAGGTTTCTACAGATTTTTATTATGTTACAAAAATAACAACTCACATTTCATTTTTGTTTAATCAAAATAAGTTTTAGAATTCCGTTGAAATTTATTATCAGGTCTCCCAAATCAATTAAAGCAATAACTTATTGTATTTGTACTGTTAAAAATCTTAAAAAAAAAGAATTCTAAAATATGTTTTCATTTATTAATCAAATGTTAGTCAACGTTTTCCTCTTCTTCTAATACTTTGCCTAAGTGTCAGTAGCCTAAGAAAACTTGCAATTGGGGTATAAGGCTTATCCAAGTGTTTTATTTTCGTTCAATTACTCTTGAGCCAGCCTTAATTTAAAGTAATCGAAACCGACTTTGCACATGTTTCGCAATCAGGTGGGTCAATAAAAATTTCTTTACAGAAATAAATCTGTGGATATGTGTCGGGAGGTAGTCATTATCAGATCGTTAAAATCTATATTCAAATCTCTACTTTCTATTATGTCCTTTTCAGGCTACAATGCGGCTAGCTATCCGTGGCAAAAGCTACTGCCGCAAATGCCAGCCATGACCAAAGCACCTCCAGCGACAGCGGTGACAACAACAACAACAAACAGCAACTACAGCGTGGCCATGTTGCACCACCAGCAGCAACAGCAGCAGCACACACAGCACCAACAATTGTCGTCGCAGCAAACTCCCCCAATGCCGTCGATAACAGCAGCAGCAACGCAGCAGCAGCAGCCGCCGCTCAATCACAACAACAATCACTTGATTGTGCCCGCGCCGATGGCATCGCCCGGCAAGCCGCTAAACTGTTCCATGAACGATGCAAAGGCAGCTGCAGCAGCAGCAGCAGCGGCGGCGGCGGCAGCGACAGCAGCAACGACCAGTGTGCCGGATGAAGCTGATGAGCCCGATGAGCAGCTGGACGATGATGTGTTTGAGTCCACGACCTGTGCGCCAGCCATGTCGAATGGCAAAAAAGCACCGACGGCAGCCATGCGACTGCCTACCTATAACAGCAACATACGCAAACTAGACGAATGCCATGATGTCAGCGAAGGGGCAGCCGGTGCGCCAACGACCTCGGCGGCCAAGCGGCGCAGTCAGTCGCTTAGTGCGCTGCAGCAGCAGCAGCAACAGCAGCAACAACAACAGCAGCAGACTGCGGCGGCGGCAGCAGGCAAGAAGATACGTCGACCGATGAACGCCTTTATGATATTCTCGAAGAAGCATCGCAAGATGGTGCACAAGAAACACCCCAATCAGGACAATCGCACGGTTAGCAAAATCTTGGGCGAATGGTGGTATGCGTTGAAGCCGGACCAGAAGGCCCAGTATCATGAGCTGGCCAAATCAGTGAAGGATGCGCATTTTCAGTTGCATCCGGACTGGAAATGGTGCTCCAAGGATCGCCGCAAATCCTCCACATCGGGCAAGGGTGGCGCTTCCTCGTCCGGCAATGCCACAAACGAAGACAAACAGCGTCTGGTTTCTGTGGACGGCTCCGATTCGTTGGAGGATGACATGTGCCCCTCCACGCCCGGCGGCAGCGGCAGCGGCAGTGCCCAAGCCGTCGAGGTACAGGGCGATATCATCCCACTGACCATTGACACCTACAACATTGCTTGCGAAGAGACGCCCACAACCATTGCAGGCCAATCGCAGGGTAACTGCAAGGCCAAGCAGCTCAAGAATGAGCTGCAGTCCGATGAGGATGAGCAAATGCTTGTCGTTGAGGATGAACAGCCGCCCACGAAACTGGATCTGCAATGCCGCGAACGCGTTAACGACTTGGACATGGATGAAGCGCCCTACGACTATCGCAAGCAGCAGCAGCAACAGCTCCAGACGGATGCGGAACAGGTAAGATCTAAATCCCCATCAATCTGGGCAATACATAATACCATCTGGGTGTTTTGTGTGATAATCTATAATTTTGGTTGTTAGCGATAACAAATTGTCTAATTACACAGATTGCGCAAATATTAATTGCTCTCGTGTTTATAATACTGTCGATTTCTTTTGCTTTATCGACTTAACGACCAAACTACGCCTTGCTTAAATCCATGCTAGATGCCAGCGCAGTTATAAATATTATATATTGATTAACTGCTATAGTATTCGGGTGTGTGATTGCCGCACTTTTATTACCAACTGTGTTCATTTATGCTTATATCCTATCAAATATCCTACACTTTTTTTTTAGCGCACCCAGGAAGATCATGCGAGTCTCTGCAATGGCCAGACTATGTCCGCTCCGGCATCCAGCGCAGAGCGCGAGATCACTTTGAAGCCAAAGGCCATTAAAGCCCATCCGGGTCTGGAGAGCACCATGATGCCTTATCCGCAGATGCCCATGTACACGCACTACACTAGTCCCAAGAATCCAATCGGTGTAACACCATTCCAACCCACAGGCGAGCAAGCACAAATCCCAATTAGCTTCAATAAGCAATAGTTGCTCATTGTTTGTTTTTTCTTCCTTAATTTTTTCTCAGGCGGCGCCTTCAAATCGATGCCCATCAGTCCAAAGGGCAGCAGCTCTTCCGGTTCCAAACCGGATGAGCAACAGCTGCCGCCGCACATCAAGCAGGAAGACATCAAACAGGAGCCGCCATCGCCCTACAAACTAAATGGAGGCAATTCTGGAGCGACTACGGGGGGCGTGATTAGCGCACCAACGCCCAGCAGCGCTGTCGGCGCCATCTTTAATTTCAATGTGCCAATTGCGACGGCTCTCAGTCAAAAGCAATATCACTATCCCATGCCGCATACGCTGTGCAGTCCGACGGATGTGAGAGGTGAGTTTACAGAAGAAGACGAAGACGAATTACGAAAATATATATGTATATTTTTATTCCTCTATTAAGTTTAATATCTTATTGTTTATTTATGCCCTTATGTTGTTGTTTTTGCATTTATTAATTACCATAATATATATATATATATATATATTATCTTTATTTATCACTATGATTTGATGTTGAGTATGTTACATAATTTATTTGTGTAAAGCATTTATTTAAATATTGTGTACCAAAGGCAAAATTGAATCTAACCACCCTTCGCCTCGCCCACACCCATTTGCATCTAACGTATTTAACCGAAGTTCATCTTAAAAGTTGATTGTTTTTATTTTTTAACAAATACTTTATGCATAACATCTTTCTCTCTATTTCTCCAAACGCTCGCATAAAACCCACACATAAAAACACACACACTTTGTTACCCATTCACAATTGCTCAACTCACGCTTTTACCTCGTCCATTGCCATCTCTCACGCACATCTCTCACCACACACTCGAAAAGCAAAAGAATTCGAACCTAAACAAAAACAAGACAAAGTCAATCCCAGCACTGATCTAGCAACCGACAAGGACGACGACGCGTGCGCAGCCGACGATGCAGACGTCGACGGCGACGATGACGAAGATGACGACGATGACGACGAGCAGTTTATGGCAGAGCTGGCTAATGTGACCACAGACTTTGATGACATTGCACAGTATACAATCGCTAAGCCAGCAACACCCATGCCCACAGCCATGCCAGCGAATCCGCCTACGTTGAAGCGCAAGCAATTCACCATAGTGCGCTCTCTGACGCCGCTACAACCGGCAAACTCACCACACCAGCAGCTAAAGCATCTGCATCAGCGGCGTGTCGAAACGCCGCCAACAGTTATAACACGCGTGCCAACGCCGACGCCGACGTCGACGCCAACATCAACGATCATAGCGACGCCCTCGTCGCTGCCGCGCAATCATTTTACCATTATACGCACACAACAAAGAACAATAACACCACAACACAACACACCGCCGCCATTATTTTTCAAAAGCTCAAAAGCTCAGACATCAACAACATTAACATCAATAACTACAACAACAACCACCACAACAACAACAGCAACTAGTCACAGTAACGAGCAACTTATTCAATTTTCCAATAATTTTAATAACGCTGCTACTGCTGCAACAACTACAACAACTACCAATAATATTAACACCCATCCAACAACGACAACAACTTCAATAATCCGCAAACTTTTGACACTGCAAGATGCCAGCAAAGCCACAGGTCGTGCGGCTATTTTGTATGACGCTTTAGTGTTGGATACTTTGCATGGGAACGACGATGACGACGACGAGGTCGACAACGCTGCGAATGAGCAACAACAGCAACATCAACAGGTGCAACAACTGAACGAGACATTAGCAACAGCAACACCAACGCCAAGCACTGTGCAACAGCCAGCAACAATGTTGCTCATCACCGATGTCAACAGCTACAATCATCAGCAACATGTTGCAGTCTCTAATTCTGGCGCAACATTGCGTCCATTATCCTTTATCAGCATCAATGCTTGCAACAAAATCACCCTGCCGGCCAATACGCGCATTCTGACCACAACGGCCAACTCGACCACGCCCACGCTGACCGTACTAACAAAGGCGATGGCGACAGCATCAAATCATAGTACTAATAAAGCCAATGAACTAACCATAACAGCCACTGTCGACAGTGGCAATAAAAATAACAAAAATAATAATAATAATAATAATAATAATAATAATAATAATAATAATAGTAACAACAACAACAACAACAAGGGCATTAACAACGATGCCACCACCATTCTTATGATCAACTCCAACTCATCCGCAGCCCATCAGGCCTGTGTACCAAACTCCCCGGCAACCGTTAGCTTGGGGCATGCGGCAAGCATTGCCACGCCGCCCGCCTCGGCGCCAGCACAGATTCTCGGCTCGGCGGGTCCAGCGCCGGCACAGAAAATGTTCTTTGCCATGGGTCATCCGGTAAGTTAAATAAAAAAACAATAACATTTAGTCTATGCTACTGGGAAAGGCACTGCCTACAGTATTCACAAAGGTTTTTGAAACAAAATGGTTTATCAGTGGGAATCCGCATATCGTATAATTTTGCAAGGATGTATAAGTCTCGGGTATTCAAAAATAAATTTTCTTGTTTACTGAGGCCAAAGAAAAAGACTGGCGAAATACAACAATTATGTCTCTTATAAATTCATCTATTTTTCTATCCATAATCCTACGATTTTTAATCCTGTTATTTTAACTTTTCAACAAGGCTTTTGAGATCACAGATTCCGTCCATTTACATACGCTACTATAATTATTCATTGATTAATCTCCAAATATAAAACGGTTTGTCCTGCGCAGACAAAAGAGCTAGGAAGGTAAACTTTACTGTAGTAAGCAGACAATTTTGGGATATTCTATTACTGGAGCGTGTAACGCCAGGGAATACAAGCTACTAATTCTATACATTTTTAACACGAATATTAACTGAGCAGTATTTTTGTTTAACTCCTACAAGAACCTCAAGTTTATATTATAAACAGACTTTGCTATCAATGCAGTTTTTGCAAATAACTGCCAGACTTGCGCACCTTGAACCTGTTGAGAATTTTAATCGTGCTAGAGTGGTATCTTTGCAATTGCTAAAATTCCAATTATTTATAGTACCCATTGCTGCCGCCGCCTCATCAACAGGCGGCTTCTGGCTTGGAGCACCTGCAGCTGGACGCATTTGGGTCCAGCTACCTTTTTAAGAAGCACAATGGTGGTCTGGGCGTGCAGGGTGCGCCACCGCCCCCACTGCCCCAGGTTGTTGCGCAGACAGCAATGCGCCTGCATGGCTATGCGCCCAGCAGCCATGGCCAGGATCAGCCACCGGCTAGTTCGCCGTCGTTCAAGTCGATGCCCTCCACCCCCAAATCGGCCTCGTATCATCTGAGTGCATCGTCCGAGTTGACGAGCGGCAAACGCAGCTGCGATGCTGCTGCTGAAGATGCCGATGTGGATGTTGATGTGGACACTGATGGTCAGCAGTTTGTATTGGCGCCGACGCCAGCGCAACTGGGACGTGCTCCGCTGCAGCGGCGCAAGAATTTATGTGAGTAGCCGAAAGTCATTGACGGAACACCTAACCGAATCTTATTGTCTGTGTGTGTGTGTGTGCGTGTGTGTGTGTGTGTGTAAATACAGCTCAAAGTAAATCGGACAACAACAGCACAGGCGGCGGCTATGGGGTCAGCAATGGGCAGCATATTGGACGCCAGCTGCACTCGCCAACGCTGGTGGAGGTGGCCGCCTCCTCGCCCATCATTGGCCATGTGAACAGCAGCAGCCTCAGCTCGGCTCTGCCCACGCCCACCTCATCGACCACAACGCCCAACAGTGATGAGCAGCAGCCACTAACGCCCACGGCCGTTGGCAACAATTCGGCACCCAAGTCGCCAATAAGGGGCGTGCCAGCCTCTGCACCTGCAGTGGTGTCGCACAAGAAGAAGAGCGATGAAGTAAACAAGTAAGTTGCCCTTTGTGGCATCTTAAATGATCCACCACCTTATCCCTACTGCCTTTCCAGTGTGCTCAAGCAAGTGGACTTTGAGAAGAAGTACAAGGCGCTGCCACAGTTCAAGCCAGAGGATTGCCAGTCGCCCAGCGCCATTGCTGTGCCCTCGCCGCCGCGCGTCTATGGCACCAATTATCGCAAAAAGAATGCAGTGCAGCCGCCGGTGCAGAAACTAAGTTCGTATTCATAACGCAATCATTATAATTTCCCATTGCTAATCACAAGCAATTTTTCTAGTGAGCGAGGATGATTCGATTGAGGAGCCTGCCTCGGCGCCGCCAACTACCACGCAGCGTTTCTTTGGCGCTGATTTTAACAATGATCTGAGAGGTAAACCAACTAGTCCAAGTAGTATTTGCCAAAATGCACCTGGAACTAATCTCCAATTTGCTGCAGAACTTGAGACCGGCGATCAAACTGGCCGTTCGCCGCGCACACCCAAAACGCCGTTGCAGAGCGCTCGATCCGATGCCAGCGAAAAGGGACACCGCAAGGTCCTGGAAGCGCGTCGTAATTTAGTCATGCAGCTGTTCAATGAGCACGGCGTATTCCCATCCTCTCAGGCCACAATTGCCTTTCAGGTGCGTGTTGCTATCGTATAAAATATGAACATTCAATCCTAATCGTAGTTATCCTCTTATCACAGACCAAGCACATCGATCTCTTTCCACGCAAACAAGATCTGCAGCTGAAGATACGCGAGGTGCGCCAAAAAGCCATGGGCGCTCTACCCTGCACACCGCACTCGGCTGGTCCCAACACGCTCTCCGACTCCAACTCGTCGTCGGCCACGCTGAGCGCTAGTCTGAATGCCCAAAACAATGCTGGAGCAGCGTCAGGTAATTAAAAGGGAGTAAAAAGGCCATTTGGAAGCAGAAAAATCGATCGCCTCCACATTCACATTGTACAACTCCTTACGCCTTATTTTATATTCCTTATTTGTTGCTACTCTCTAATTCCCAATTTGTCAACAATTGAAAAGAGTTTTCTTCTATTTTTGTTGTGTAAAATGATGTTTAAAAATGTTCCAAATAAGTTATTTTTAATAATAGTATATCACAATTGGCGATTGTATGAAGATACATTTTCATTTGCACTTTTACCACACTAAATGCCTTCACAATAATATGCACAACATTAGCCAAAACTAGCGTAGACTATAACATTTTATTTTTCAAATGGAACATAATATTTTATATTTCTTTTGAAATCTACGCAGAGGGTATTGTAGTTTCCTAACGATATGTGTAACGCATCAATGAGACATCTGCGACTTAAGAAACTATATATACATATGTAGACTCTGGGTCAATATAAGATCATTCTTAATCAGCACATATTCGGGAATCGGCCGTATTGGACCACTTTTCATATGGCTGACATACGAACGATCGGTCAAAAATAAAGTTCTGGAAGAAACACTTTGTTATTCATGCTATCTTAAACAGCCCCGTAATTTATTAGTTACACTTCGCTCCTTGCATGTAACCAAAATCATGTCGGACTACTATATTTTATCCTATAGGAACAATCGTATGCCACATGTATACAATGTTTCGTCCCCACACACCCTCTTCTTACTGTACTTTTCCTCTGCCATTTTCGTTTTCAACTTGTAATTTGAATTTCCTTTTTCTATTGTGAAAACATTGTATAGATGTTTTTCCGTATTACTATACGACAGGTATGCACCAGCAACATCAACAGCAACTTGCAGAGCAACAACAACAACAGGTGAATCATCTAAGCAAACTAACCGAAAATGAGAACAAGTACAAGTAGGAAGGAGGTTCAAGTGAGGTCGCTGGTTTAAAGAAGGAGAACAGGATTGGGACACGCATGAATTGGATACGCTGCGAGTGACAAATTACTTAAAATTAATAAACAAAAGGATAACAGAAATAATTGCAGCAACACATAGATACTGAGCATGTATGAGATGCATGTGGAAAACATTTATATTGAAACAAGAAAGAAAAAATCAAAGAGATGCAAAAACAAAAAAAAACAAAATTATAAGAAATGTTAAATTTTTTAATTGCAATACGCCTATACTACTACAAGCGTAACAGAGACAGAGAGACAGTAGAAAAAGATAGAGGGACAGTAGGAATGAATTTATTAAGCAGCTTAATAAATCGAAAAATAAAGAAGTTTACCAGTTGGAAGATAGAACTTTTTGAAACATATATGAAGTACATACATTATGGCAACATTATTGTATAATGGCTTAGTTAATAATTTACAGGAAAGCAACAACTACAACAAACAAAAACAATAACCAAGCAAACACAATGAATACCCCATAAAAGAAATAATAATTTTAAGAACTAAACTTAACCCAAATAGCACATTAATTTTGAAGTGTATTTAGCACAAGTAAAAAGCGAAGAATTTAAAAAAAAAAAACAAAAACAAAAGAAAATGAACACAAATCGAATAACAAGATTACACACACACACACACAATTTGTAAGCTGAATGGAGAAATTGTAGTTGTATTGTACCCTACATATATATATATACATATATATATATATATATAGGTTTTCGGAAGAAATTTTAAATTGTCTGCTTTTTCGTATTCTTTTTCTTTGGCACTTTGAAAAGAAAAAACTTTTTTTTAAATTGTATGTACATTATTCCACTATTATTCTGGCCATTAATTTTTATGCTGTTGTCTATTTTAATTGGAATAAGCAATTTTAAATTGTATAATTAGTTTAGTTTAGATCGTTGTTTCTTTATGCTTTATCGACCTTAAACTTTAATCCTGTATACAGCAAATAAATATTGAAGAACAACCACAACAACAACATAAACAATAACAAAAGTGAAAAGAATCGCAATTGCGAAACGGCATGAAAAAATTTATAAACAGAAAACTGTCTTCCACTGTTGCTGCAATATATGAATTATGAATGTTTTAATTGTTTTTATTATTATTATGATTATGAATATTATTTTTATTACGAATAATTACAAGCATAACTTAGTTCTTTGTGTAGTTTCGCTTATTTAAATTTTATTTTATAAATAGAGTGTGTGACTGCGATTAATCTTAAATATTTTTCTGGCTTTCAACAATCATAATGATAATATTTCTAGTTTGTAAAAGTAGTTCTTAAACAAGCTTTAAACAAATTTCAATTCAAATGGCCCAATTTTTGAGAAGTCCAAATGCCAGAAACTTTTGTATTATCACGTGTGTGTGTGTTAAACTTAAAGTGCTGTTGTGTCTGTTGTTTACTGTCACAATTCATTTCTTTTCGATACATTATTTGCTTAGATTCTTTTGTATTTTAGTTCAGCTGGCCATTGCTACAGTGCGTTGCAAAATATATGTATGTCTACGTATTTGATGCAGCATAATAGCTAACAGTGTATAAAACAAAACTTTAAAATTTTAGTTTAATAAGGTATTGCAAATTAACAGTTGAAAATGAAAGACGTCTCCATTTTTTCCCCTTATTTGTTTTTAAATGACAGTCAACTCACACACACACGCGCACGCACACTTTTTATTTGTGTAATAATTAGTTATTAAAAAAAAAAAAAATTACAACTTTTTAAAGCCGCACTTACTTATAATTTACAAACTAGTTTCGTTTAGCTATTATGTTTTTTTATGAATATAGTTGAAAACAAAATTTTATATAATAAAAAGAAAGTACATTTTAGCATGTTAATGTTTATAAAAAGAATAAAACAAAGTTTATAAGCAAAACAAACGTGTGAAATTATTGTCGTGATGCATATTGGAAAAGAAAACAAACAACTCACAAACAGTTGAGCACAAAGTAATGTTCATTACCCTTTTGTTCGTATCAGATTTAGTTCAGTAAATTCTGTTTTAACTTAAAACCAATATAAATAAACCGCAGGCTAAAAAGCAACTGATAGACAGGAACTCAGATAGCGAATTTGTGCCAATGATTAAATATATAAAAAGCAACTTTAAACTTAATACGTAATATAAAAGTTAGTGTAATAGACCCAAATCCACAAACTTACACCAACTAACGGTTAATCCAATCAACATCCTTCCAGAACTCTGTCGGCATTGAAGTTAGTCAATTAAAGATAAGTGCAAGCTGAAAATATATTGGCAAATCGCAAAACAAAAAATAAAATAAATCACCGCTCACGAACTTTTGACACACTTGTTTACAACCAATCTTGAGAACTTATACAATACAAAGCATATAGTATACAAGGGCGAAACAGAAACTTTTGGCAAACAACAATTTCGACCTAACAAAATTTTTTATGAAGAAAAAACTACCAGTAATTACAAAAAAACAAACAAAACTCGAACAAGCAACACACACACACACACTCAAACCAAAAATGGCGTTTCGGATACAAAATTCTAAAATTCAGGTATTAAAAAACAAATAGTGTTGTATAATGTTACATTTTTTTAAAAGAAGATGAAATATTTAGCTATTTATACAAAACTAAAAAAAACGTAAAAAAAAATTAAGTTAGTAAATTTTACAGAAGCTTGTGCAAAATTTACAACATGCTTTTACAAATGGTTGCAGAAATCACATTTGGAAATAGGCAGACATACATTTCATATGTGTGTACTATATTTTTTCAAAAAGAAAAACTGTATTTTAAACTGCGTATGGAAAATAAACAATATTAAATAAATACAAAAAAGTAAATAAATTCAGTTGTGAACAATTCACACACTTTCGAAGAGTTAAAAATGAAGTATGCAATGAGCCCAAGGTGTTTTTTATAGTTTTTAACCTGGCAATGTATTAAATTAAGTAGTTTGAGGTTACAAAGAGTTTTAAATGAACGTAAATAAAGCAAAATAGAGCTAATACAAAAAAAAACACAATTTGATGAAATTTCTAGTGGCAATCCTTTAAATAAAATACAATATAATATTAACAATAGTAAGAAAACCCCAAAACGTTACACAATGTTGTTTGCGATTTGTTTTGGTTAATTGTTAAACAAATATATACTTAACTACATAAATACATGCAGGGACTCGTGTAGGCATGCAAATGTGCTTATATTAAGTAAATGATTGCACAATTCTGAAGCTATGATATAATTGAGTTCAATGCGCGAAAATAACAATTTGAATTAATCGATTACGATTCCTTGATTTTGCCAACGACCTGAACGCTTTGTAAAAATTAATATATATACAAACTTATTTGTGAACCTAATTAATAAGGCAGTTATTGTGAACGTATTTTTAAGCGAACGAAACAAATTACAAATTACATGGCATACATATACATATACATTTACATTTACATTTGCATCTACATATACATATACATATACACATAAATTATATATACACATATATACATAAACATTTACATATGTAGTGCCAGCATACACACAGATATTTAATACAGAGCTGTGCGCCGAGTCGTGTAGCTAATTCAACTATTTTCTAGCTAAATTCGGCAAAGGTCGTCCCGGGAAGCAGTTAAAATTGTAAACTAACAACTCTGTTTACTGCCAATTTTAGCTATTCAACCCTGAATTCAGATTTTATTTTCGGCGTCAGTTGTCAACACTGGCGCCAAGCTGATGCATATTTTTCAGAGACTTAATTTATAGCAGGATATTTGCTTTTGATGGGACAGCCACAAAGTCAAATAAATTACCGGCTCGCACACACATACACGAACACAGACACAAGAGCCACAGGAACAGGCCGAAGAATACATGCAACAAAGTTTATATACATAGTATATACATACAAACATATATATACATACATACATATATAAAAAATATAAAAAGAAAATTTATTAAATAAAAATGAAACATGCAGTCATTACAGAATCTTATCTATTACAAATTGTATCTAATTTTGAGATTAATATTTGTTCTATTGGAAATGAGGAGCATCTGCATCTGCTGCTTCTTTATGCTATAACCTCCTCGGCCAGCACAGGTAACTCAGCCTGCGCAGATGCCTCCAACAGGCCCCGGGCTGAGCATAAAATGCTAATATCCGCACAATTCTTGAAGGTTTCCTGAGCACCACAGCCCATAGCACCGCTGCCATCCTCACAAATGCCCCAGTTATTGCCTGATAAAAGAGCGGAAAGTTGCACCTATATATTCTGGTGGTCTTACTGGTAATGGACAGCGCTTACCCGCCGTGTAGGTCCAACGGAGCACGCAATGCTTACAGCTGACTCCACTGGGCAATCTCAAGGTCACATCGTAGCTGCCGGTCTTGGAGCCAATAACGTACTTGAGGCTGCCATCGGCAAACTGCAGCGGATACTTGTCGAAGCACTGCTCAGACTCGCTGCCATCCTCATCCAGGCTGCACAGATGGAAGCTAAAGTGGCCCAGGTGATTGGCGGTAATGAGCACATTTACGTCAATCGAGCTGGCGCCGTTGTAGCTCTTGACTATGACCCCGGCGCCATATTTACCGCCCAATTCATTTGCTCTGGGCGCGCTCAGGCTGTAGTCGTCGCCGCACAAGCCGCACTGGCCGTTGTTTTCCGTTTGTTTCTGCGAAAAGTGGACGCAGTGGTTGAAAAATAATCCCAGACCCTTCAGCAGAGGCACACATACCCAAAAGCCGCCGCAGTAGAGCGCATTGTCATCGTAGTTTGTGGGCGCCGAGGAATCGTAACGCCAGCGTGATGAACGAGCCACGGGTGTCAACATCATGCCATGGCCATCGATCTGCCCCATGAGGCAACAGATCAACACTCCCATCGTGGTAATACTGAGGTATTTCATTTTCTTTGGCACTTTCCTTTTCACTGGGCTCTGCCTCCCAGTGGGCAAGTCTTATATAGCTGCACATTGCTTCGGCCTTATCGGTTTACAAGAAAGTCTTCTGATTTTTAGGCAATGCTATCTACGATCAAAGCGATCATATAAAGATAATTGGCCTCTTATCAGGCGTCTATCAAACAGGAATATGATAATTTTACTCTTGCCCAAATTTTACCGAATCGTTATATCACTCTGAGAACTGATACCGTTCTTTATTGATCAAAACAAGAGTGACACATCCAAACAATCCAAATATTTGCAATATTATTTCACATTATTGACTCATAAGAATTTAAAACTGTGTCTCAATAAAGTACACTGGACACCTGGAAATGTTCAATTCCAGTTCTTAAGCAATAGGAACATAAAATCTTAAGACTGTGCCTCAATAAAGTACACTGGATACCTGGAAATTTCCAATTTCAATTCCAGTTCTTAAATAATACAAACAATAATCTTAAATATCGAGTGCTCACTGTATATTCCTGAGAACGCTTTTTATTGGCTTAATTTGCTGATAAATCAACTGTAAACTGGGCGAAATTATTTCGCAGCCTTGGATATAGTAACTTAGTTCTGTTTGCCAAAAAAAAGTGTTGGTTCAAGGCGTAACGAGAAGGGTAACGAAAGTTCAGAAAGTGGTAAACCACAGCGTGAGATAAGAGTCTAGTTTAGTAATGTTTATTGGTGCTTTGGAACAGTTAATTGTCGGCAACCTTGATATTTGTCTCATAAACGTGATTTGAAAACATATGATATCATTGATATTATCGTATTGGGTATTTGGCACATTTAAGGACTGAAGCACTTGGAAATTTGCCAAGGCCTGTCCAACTTTCGTTTTCATGGCACAAGCTGTAAACTAACCTTTCCATTCTACCTATAAATCTGTTATGTAATGTTTATGTTCATTAAAATCCAGAAACTCGGCTATTTATGTTATTACAATACATCATATCTGATTATAGGTATAAAATAGACTTAACAAGTAAGAGGCTCTAGTCGGTGGCTCCCGACTAGGGAATACCCTGAACCCTCTTCTACCAACACCAAATGCAGCTCGCAAAATACCTCTATATGGGACTCGAACTCGTAACAGATCACACTACTTGCCGCCGCCTCTTCTCAACACGTTTAGCGAGAAAAAAAGGGGAATAAAATACAATTGCAATGCTGTTGACAGAATTCAATAAGGACGCATATGATAGTGTGTGCGTACCACGTGGGCAGCCAAAACACATATTCTTTAATAACATCAGTGTTTCTTAACCGATCTTGATGAAATTTTCAACAGTAGATCTTATTGTACAATAGAATAATTGTATGTTCTCAAAATGTCAATTGCAATAATATTGTGACTTAAATTGGTGAGCAATACAAGTTGGTTTATTAACATGATTTATACCTATGTAGTGGTAGGGGGGAGTAGGCGATAGCTATAAAATTAAAAATACTTGATATATATTCTATTTTATTCTAGAAGCAACAGATCATGTTTGGTCACTCTAGCTCTTAAAATGATAAGATTTGCTTAAAAATAGGATTTCGATATAGATTTTTATCGATTGCTTGGAAACGGAGTAAGTTATCGATTATCGGAAACAAACTCGATCTCCGTGGGCACTAGGAGGACCTACAGCTAAAATTCCAAGTCTCTTGCTCTTATAGGTTCTGAGATCCTTGCGTTCATATATACGGACAGACGGAAAGACCGACGGATATGGCTAGATCGGCTCGGCTATTGATGCTGATCAAGAATATATATACTTTATGGGGACGGAGATGCTTCCTTCTGCCTGTTACACACTTTTGCACAATAACATTATACCCTTTTTAGCCCTTTAAAGCCGACCATCAATCACTTAATCTAATTTTGAAAACATCTATGAAAAATATCGTTCAAAATGTAATTCTTGGATTGTGGAAATTCATAGGTGGAAAACACTTTTCATGCATGATAAGTGGCAATGTATTTGTATCTGTATGTATGCATTTACAACCCCCCACTAATAGATGGCATTTGGAATATTTGCAGATGCATTTCGGGGGGCTATCAGGTCTAACATTAACAATAATATAAAATAATAATAATAATAATTATATTCAGTATTCTGACCAAACATTTGTATTCATGTGGACAGCTGGTCATTGCGCAAATCCAAAATTTTCTATGTTTTAAACAGAGCATACAATTCTACCATATCCAAAAGATTATTCTAATTATTTATATGCAAAAAATGAATATGCTAAACAAAAATTAGGTCAAAATATCACGAAGCGTTTATGAAACTGTGTGTCTTAGGTAAGACGAAAGCAGTGCAAGCAGTGCACGGAAGTACACATAAAGGCATAATAAACCGGAAACCGCACAGCTGCCAAGCAGATTATTATTGTTTGTGGTTTGTGTCTGGGGTTAACAATAAACGCAGTGTGTGACAAGCTGTGCACAGAAGCAAAAAGAAAAGCATAAAACACCAGAGAAATCCGAAAAAACTTCAACTTGAGAGCTGTTTGTATTATAAAGGTTAGTTTTACGGAAAAATGCTTTCGTTTAATTAAATATTTGGCTTTGATTCAGTACAAAATGTTCAGGCCTCTGTTATCAGCACTTATGCCTCGACGGAGTCAACCTCCTCTGGCACAGCCGGCTTGGCAGCGGCGCCTGCCGCCAGCTCCTTGAGCATGTTGCGGCCCCAGTAGATGCTCACATCAGCGCAGTTCTTGAATGTCTCCTGGGGACCACAGCCCAGGGCACCGGTGCCATTGTCACACATACCCCAATTGTTGGCTATACGAACAATTCCAATTGATATATGAGAGTGTGAAGTGTAGGAATGCACAGAAGTACACACTTACCGCCCACATAGGTCCAACGCAGGACGCAGTGCTGGCAGGTAAGACCCTCTGGAAGCAGGACAGTCACATCGAACTCGCCGCTCTGAGTGCCAATCTCCAGCTTGTCGTTGCCATCGGGAAAGCGCAGGCGATGCTGATTGAAGCAATCCTCAGATTCGCCTCCAAAGGTATCCAAGTTACACAAATGGAACTCAAAGTGTCCCAAATGGTTGGTGGTGATCTTGACTCCCACGGTAATGGCATTAGCGGCCGTAAAGCTCTTGGTGATGACGCCGCTGCCGCCAATCTGCCCGCCAATCTCGTTGGGACGCGGCTGGCCAGTGGAAAAGTTGTCGCCGCACAAGCCACACTGTCCCCCATTATTGGCCTGGGTCTGCAAGAGTGGGAAAGGATCAATGCCGAACACGTACTTCACATCGGTGCTCATTTTCCCACATATAAACCACCGCAGAAGAGCTCATTGTCGTTGTAATTCTGCGGCGCAGAGCCATCGAAGCGCCAGCGCGAGGATCGACTCGGCGGAGTCAACATCATGCCGTGCGCATCGATCTGTTGGAAGCCAATGGCCAGCAGGAGGGTCACACTAAGCAGGTACTTCATGTTTTAACCAATTTCACTTTCACTATGTCTGCCCCTGTGAACGGGCGCAGGCCTTATATTTCACAGGCCAAACGGCATTATCTGGGACCCCGATTATCGGCTGAAGAGTTTTACGACCGCTCTTCAGCTGCCACCGAATGTTATCAATTTGAGGGCAACACGCAACATTTATGTACGCGAAAATTAACAATAACATTCATTTGTTTATTTTAGAAGTGCCAGTAAGTCAATTCAAGACTCTGATCCGCACAGAGCCTGGATAAGCATCTCTAATTGGCACTGTAAAAGAAACCCCATAAAAATGTCAACCGAATGCAAACGGCATGCAAAGAATTTGAACCGCTTTTGCTCATAGATAATAACCAATCATAAAGCACTTGGTGGGGGTTCAGCAGATATACCTATTGGCTTTATCGCCAGTGTACTATAATCTACCAGCACATACATCTGTTGATTTACTCATATGCTTATCAACAGCATTATTAATTATCTGATTTTAAGCATTTCTTATATTCCAGTTGGCTTACTGACTTGTTAATGAACTCATCAGAGCAGTTCCTGACAAACACCCCATTGCACATTTGGGGCAAATACACTCTTTAGTTCTTTAATTTGCAGCTTTATTGCGAGCTTAAAGGCGAGGAGCATCTGCATTAATCTGTATACTGTTTGTTCTGAATAACCGACTGACTGATGCTGGGAATTGTAAGCTCAGCTGTTTTTGATTATGGCCCTACTATGTGATTCTCACATATTCAAGCAAGACTTACAGTCTTTTATTCTATTACACTTTATTTCTTTTTTCTCTCTCTCTCTCTCTCTCTCTCTCTCTTTTTATGTCTCTCTCAATCTCTCTGCCTCTCTTCCTTTATCTCCCTCTCTCTCACTCTCTGTTTCCATCCCTCAATTTGGACAAGTACATATTTCCTCATCAATTTATACGTAAATCAAAATATAATATGTTAAATGAATTCATACCTGCGCTCGGATTATAAATATATTTTTGATAATTATAATAAAATAAATATTTAAATGGTTTGAGTATTTCTTCCTATGTAAGCTTTTTAAAATTGCTTAAGCAAATTTAAAGAATAACATATTTATGGCGAAACATTATAACATATTAAGTTAGTCCTGCAACTTGTTTTCTTTTGATATTTAGGCTATGGCTTACTCCGGTCCCTTCATTCTATAAGTTGACGCATCAGAAGTCTTACTACAATACTTTGGAAATCCCCAACTTCTTCCTATAGCTGCACACACACGCATGTTTATAGTAGTTTCCGCTGTTTACGATTGTTCACTTGCGAGAGCTTAAGTCGAAGAGTTAAATAAAAACGGTTCGTTCCTTAGAGTGCTCTTATATCCTACTTAATTGAGTATAAAGGGTATACTAAATGGTAATTGTGCAAATGAGACAGAAAATCTTTACTTTCCTCTAAATTCGAGCTACTGACAAGAGACATTTACAAATCCCATACGATACCATTTACCAGATTAAGTTCAGCTTTAATATATTATTATTGTATTTTTACAATCCAAACAAAAATAACTTTATTTCAGACATTTTTTCAGTAGGGCAGAGCATGAAACGGCACAAGCTGCTTGGACAGACCACCGAGATAATAGTGCTTATATATATTTTTCGCTATTTGTGGCCTTGATACAGGGTATCTAATTTATCGAACCAACTGAATCATTGCTTTGCTTGTGTTTTGTTTCTTGTTTATCGCTTGAGTCTCGCTTTTAGTGTGATTCTTGTGTTGTTTAAGGAAAGATCAATATTCCCAAATAAAGTCCAAAAAAATGCCCAATCTGGAACAACATCTTCAGTCAACCAGTGCAAATTTTATAAATATTAATGCGCATCGGAAATTATACACAAATCATTATGGAAAGTTACGAGATACGCTCTATTCCACGTTGCAACAGGAGAATCCACTAGGAAAATGGTTATGCGGACATAAATTAGGAGGTACGTGAATGAAGAAAAGCATTTCTGATATCAACACACACAATGCACTCCTTTAAGAAATAATGTGCTTCATTCTTCTTCAGTGGGTCAATGTATTATTGCAAAGAAAAACAAACAAGTGCAAAGCTCTCTCTCTCCCTCTCCTTCTCACTCTCTCTCTCTCTTTCTTTCTCTCTCTCTCTCTCTCTCTCTCTCTTTGTCACATTGAAACCGCCTTTCTTTGCGATTTTCAAAATCTAGAAAATCACGAAAATGCATTTGTAATTTAATATTTTTTTATGTATAGGAAGTTATGCGGATAAACTGAAAGTAACGAAACCCGATGAATTTGATTTGGTAATTCATTTAAAGTTTCCAGAGAATGACAGGATTGTTGTGAGGAGAGACTGTGCTAAACCGGGTAATGTTACTTTGGACATGACGGAAGTGCTAAATATTTTGCATAATCAACATCAAAATAAAGTAACATTCACGAATCTGAAAAAATTAGTTACGTCCACCAATTTACTTCTAGAGGATAAGCTGCAGGATATGATAAAAGGCACTGTAACACGGGCTTTAAATAAAATGGAAAACAAAATTGAGGTTGATGGAAAAACTGCAAAACTGGTGTATAAGAGATGTGGACCGGCACATACAATATTTATTAACGAATCCGATATGAAGTACTCTGTGGATTTTGTGCCTGCCATTAAGCTGAATGTAAAGCAAATTGTGTTGGGTCAACAAAAACTCAAGTACTTCAAGAACATTATGTATTGGAGTGCGATTCCAAAACCCTTGAAGCCATTCGAGCCAAACAATGTGTCATTTAGGGCATCGTACTATGAAGCCGAATATGCCATGATAAAGGACAAATATAAGCTAAAGGATGTTATTAAATTTATGAAGAAGTTCCGCGACTCAAAACAAAATATCAGCACCTTAAAGAGCTATTATATCAAAACCTTATTGATATGGCAAATAGATGCCAGGCCAACGACCTATTGGAAAACCCAACAGCTAAACAAAATATTGATCGATGTACGTGTAAATAAGTTGGTACGTAAGACCCTTAGTACTTATTCATGAATTCCTATTTCTGTGCAGATGTTCAGAGAGTTGGCGAATTGTTTGGTAGTGTCTGGAAAAAATGGTAAGCTTCCATTATTCTGGGATCCCCATCTGGATTTATTTGCTGCATTAACACGAAACCAACGCAACGATATGTTGAATTGTGTAACTGCTGAGATTGATACGCTTTGCCTAGCGGCTAGGAGTCTAACAGATGACATCAGTCAAGCTGTAACACTGGCGTTCAGTATGTAGAGGAATAATTGTATATTTTTACTTAAGTAAACAAACAAAAATTCATTTAGGTAATCGGCAGGAACGTTTAATAAAGAACGAAGAGCAGAGTATGCACGCAATTAAATTAAATCCAAAAGCAGAACTGATGTCGCCACCAGTACCATCCGAAAATCAAGCTAAATCTCAACCGGAAAAGGAGTAGCTTGATTTTTCTTCGCTTTGTCCAGTTGTCAACTACCAGTGATCCTTATCTTACAACTAGTATTTTATCATGCCCCATCCACCTACAAATGTAATGATTAAACAGGTGAATAATATTGAATGTTAATTATTAAGTTAGAAAAACACAATCAATTATAGCCCGTGAAAAGGAATTTTATGATAAACAAACAAATTTTACAGTGAAAATAGATAAATAAAGTTTATATCAACGGAGTTTGGCCGCCTTTTATTTAATTATGTCGACACGGCAACCATGCTTCCCATTTCCATATTTGGTTCTTTCGTACCAAACTGGTCGTTTATTTCCATTGGCACGCTGGACCTGCTCATTCTGTTAAGTCTTTGTGTACCTACTGTTCATTCGACAACAAAATACTTTTAAAATTTCCCAACCGTATCGATAACAAATGCAAATGCAACCTTAAGAGTAGTCGAAACCAAGGCGCATCGCTAACAACAGCTGCTTAGCCGATATTAAATTGGCTTCTTAAGATATTTACGAAGGCGTCTTTGTTTCTTATCCAAACTTGGCTTTATAGGAAAAATCGGTCGATTGTGAGTTTTTGTATGGATAATTTGTCTGTTCTTCAGATATTTTTACCAAACTCGGCATTTAGGAACCTTATAAGTATCCACACATATATACAAGGGATATAATGTTCGGCGTGCCGACATGGCACGATCTAATTTTTCTCAGTTGGCAACTGTGCATATACATATGTAGATCCCATAAAAATAGTTTTGCTTGGTACTATCACTAACCAAAAAACATATAGACTGGACATGCCGTGTACAATAGGTGGTCTCCAAAAATTGGTTTGCATCTGGTCCAACGAGCGAGTAAGATATACATATGACATCTTTTGATCGCTCACACTACAGAAAACTCCTTTGGCTTACTATCTTCCATATGATTTGTGCGATAGAACGGCATCGCTGTTTTTTATCTCGCTCCCACTACAGGAAACTGCTTTGGCTACTCTCTTCCATATGATTTGTGCGATAGAACGGCATCGCTGTTTATTTTTATCTCGCTCGCACTTACTCTCAGTGCTCTCAATGCTCTCTTCATGTCTAGGTACCGTTTAAATGTTTGTGTGTGCATGTGGCAGAACAAGCAAAAATGCCCACAAATTCAATTTTTGTCAAAAGTCGGTGGCATTTCTTCCCTTTTGAGGGGACGAGTAATATGAAATCATGAAAGGGTTTGCCAAGTCGATGCGAAATTCTTTCATTTTAGCTCGGTATTGCTGGAAAGGGTACCTAAGCGTTGGCATGTGTGCATTTTAAAGTTTTTGGACTTGCTATTCACGCATACTTGCATATTTTGTATATGAATAGAAGCATTTATGCGCATGTGTGCCTGTTGGTCCCTGCCTGCCTGTCCGATGCAAATTTGGCAATATTTTTGGACTTCTGAATTTCGAGCTCTGCGCACACACACACAGAGACACAAATGTGTGTGAATGGGCTGATCATGGGCGCAAAATTTAAAAATATCATTTTTGGCACGCGTCTGACGCGCGCCCTTCTTTTTTATGATTTTGGGTTTGAATTGATGAATGAATGTTGACCCCTTATTACCTGTAGCAGCCCGTTGGGCCGAAAGGGTTAACTTTTGGCAAGCACCTGCACTTGCATATGTACATACATAGGTCAAGTGACTGATCACTTAAATAATTTTATGAACAGCGAATATTTGTGCAAAAATTAAAATCTTTAATTATGTATATACATATGTATATATTTATTGCATTATTAATTTTATTGACTTATCATATTCAAGCTATTCAATTCAAATCCTAAATCATAAAAAGAAGGGCGCGCGTCAGACGCGTGCCAAAAATGATATTTTTAAATTTTGCGCCCATGATCAGCCCATTCACACACATTTGTGTCTCTGTGTGTGTGTGCGCAGAGCTCGAAATTCAGAAGTCCAAAAATATTGCCAAATTTGCATCGGACAGGCAGGCAGGGACCAACAGGCACACATGCGCATAAATGCTTCTATTCATATACAAAATATGCAAGTATGCGTGAATAGCAAGTCCAAAAACTTTAAAATGCACACATGCCAACGCTTAGGTACCCTTTCCAGCAATACCGAGCTAAAATGAAAGAATTTCGCATCGACTTGGCAAACCCTTTCATGATTTCATATTACTCGTCCCCTCAAAAGGGAAGAAATGCCACCGACTTTTGACAAAAATTGAATTTGTGGGCATTTTTGCTTGTTCTGCCACATGCACACACAAACATTTAAACGGTACCTAGACATGAAGAGAGCATTGAGAGCACTGAGAGTAAGTGCGAGCGAGATAAAAATAAACAGCGATGCCGTTCTATCGCACAAATCATATGGAAGAGAGTAAGCCAAAGCAGTTTCCTGTAGTGGGAGCGAGATAAAAAACAGCGATGCCGTTCTATCGCACAAATCATATGGAAGAGAGTAAGCCAAAGGAGTTTTCTGTAGTGTGAGCGATCAAAAGATGTCATATGTATATCTTACTCGCTCGTTGGACCAGATGCAAACCAATTTTTGGAGACCACCTATTGTACACGGCATGTCCAGTCTATATGTTTTTTGGTTAGTGGTACTATAGAACCATAGAAATAAGTCGTATAAAATGTCTTTAAAGTCAACAGCTGCAAACTGAATAATCGTGGCGATCTGACATTTCAGAAATTTAAACATTTAAGTTTTTTGAATTTAATAAATTTGGTGAAACTAACTTTGAATCTAGCTCGAGCTCTCTATTCATCAGCATCCATGCGTTTAAATATTCTCTTTTTCGTATATAATCAATAAAGCAACTATTGTTAGAATAACAATTTACCTGTGTTATTGGATGTAGAATAGTTGCCTTCAAGCTCCCACTATTTAACCAAATCGTTTTAAAAAATTTACTGTTTAGGATTGCTTAATTTTCCCATTTGCTTAAAGAAAACGAAATTTGTTGTGAAACATAGTTGCAGATTATAATTGTTAGAAGAAAAAAATTAATAAATATAACTTTGCTTTTTTTATATATTAAATTATAGTTTCTTTGTTTCCATTTTGTGAGCTTAGAATTTCTCACCAACAGGTTTGATCGTGAGCTCGTGTATTTGGACATTTGGAGGTGTCTGAATGCAGTAGGTGATTGCATCGGCGACATCCTCGGCCCGCAACATGGGAAAACCCAAGGCGGAGAATTGGTCCTTATCAATAATTTCAGTATCCACAACGCCAGGACTAATGCTCTACATTAAAAATAATGCACAATATAAGAATCGGTACAGATAAAGTGTATTTCAAGTGCCACTTACTGTTATCTTTGTTTTGGTGCCCTTGTTCAGAAACTCCTGGCGCAGTACCTCGGTCAGTGCGGTGATCGCATGCTTGGATGGTGCGTACATATTGAAGCTCATCTGCGGCATAATGGGCACCTGGTGTCCGGCAACGCTATTGACAATGAGTATGTGACCATCGTTGATCTTGCGTCGCTCCATTGAAAGGAACGCCTCGCGTGTGCACCAGGAGACACCCAGCACATTGGTGTCCAATGTGGCCCGTAGATCGGCGCTGTTGCCCTCGCTGATAATTTGGGTGTGACGCACTATGCCCGCATTATTAATCAGCACATCTGTGCCGCCCAGCTCCTTATCGATCCAGGCAAAGGTATCGATCACCTGCTGCTCCACGCTCACGTCGCAGGTGCGGTAATGGAAGCGTGCCGCCTGGTCCGTCGGCAGCTCTGCCTTCAGCTCCTGAAGCCGATTCTCGCGACGAGCCAGGCCCACCACGACCATGCCCTTGGCCACCAAATCTTTGCAACATGACGCACCTATGCCCGAACTGGCGCCAGTTACTACGGCAACACGATTTAACCAACGATTCATTTTAGTTGTTTTTAGTTCGACAAGCAAAATATCAACGTTGACTATCTGACTGAACGCTAACGTCTCCGATGGCGTCACTTTTATAGCGCAACTGGCTGTGCGTGAGCAGCTGTTTGGCTACTCGTCATATCCGCCTCTCCCGCTCCTCATAATAGCTATTAGATTTGAACAACATCACGTAATTCTGATAGCACTATTACCCACTGTCCACTCTATAGAATCTTACCTTGGTTCGCCCGTTGTATATTCAATTCCCAACTCTCTCTTGCTCTCTCTTCCACTCTCTATCACACTCTCGCTCTCTCTCTCTCTTCTATTTCATGATCGTAGGAGAGCTTCTATCATTAATTAAATTGTTTTGAAGAATTTCCTGATGTTCTGCCATAGGCTAGCAAGGAAGAAACGAATTTTGAACTATATATCACTTAAGGTATATGTATATTTTTTGTATATACAACATATGTATATATTCTGTACGCCAAGCTATAAGAAATTCACTAATTAGAATGAAAGATCAGGTATTTTTCACTAAGAACTTTAATAACCTCCCCATATAATACATAATGAAATATAAATTATTTCGCTGACCAGAAATCTAAATAAGGAAAAGCAATTTCGAAGATAAACATATTGGTTTATTTTCATTCCCATGCAAAATTGCTTGATAATACTTTTGTTAGAAAAAAATAAAATTAGCTTTTAATTTCTTGCGGAATAAAACGAAATTCAGTTCATAAGCATGACTTACAATTTGTTTATAAGTTTAGACAAATACACATGCTCAGACACACATACTGAAGCTGAGAGGCAATTAAAAACATGTTTATTCATGAAATGTTTTTTTACATATACCCTATGCTCAGGTATTGTTAATAAAGGGTGTATTTAAAAATATCAAAAGTTAGAAAATTAAAGTATAACAAATAACATTTAGTAAAAGTTTCTATTAAATGTTAGGCAATTGTGTCACATTATTAAAACTATAGATTTGACAGAGATTCTCAACATACGCTTATGTTTACATTTATTTTCATTCTTTTATTTTGATGATCTATCTACAAACAATAATTATCTCACAGCCCAGGAAGGTGGGGTATAGCCAAAGACAGTATAAATAATAAAATAAACAAAATTCTATTATGCAGCTTAATTTTTACAAAATTGAGAACGTACACAAAATCGGTACCCTTCCGCTCCCACAAAAACGTTAAAAATAGAATGTACTCTCAACTTCGCTCTCATGATGTGTGCATGTATGTGAACAACATACATACTATAGCGAAGCATATTTCTATATGTATGTGTTATCCGCTGTAATGGCTTTTTGCTGGCGAAGAAACTAATTTCTAAGTTTTCTTGCGCTGACCGTGATCTGCCCCAAATTTGTATTCCCGGCAATCGTTCGTTTTGAAGAGCAATAAGCCACACTAGAAATTTTCCGTCGCATTGAAATGTTTGGGCATGACTGAGCTTAGTGTTTATATTGTCTTTGGTATAGCCTGGTCGAAAATTCTACATTAATCAACTCCTATCAGCTGAACTCTTCCGTTTCAAACAAAAACAAAGTATTTATTATCTATGTGCATTTATGTTTACATACAGACTTAAGTATCTATAGTTGTTACTCGCTTTGAATGTTATGGTTGGACGTATTGTACATATGTATGTGTACCAAATTTCTAAAAGAGATAGTAAGTCTCCTGCAATAACTGGTTTAGGCTCGCGATTCATGACATTATTGATAAATTATTTTACTGACCAGTTTAATAGTAAGTAAATTATACCAATGAACTCGAGATAGCCAACTTAAGTATTATATAGATAATCTTTTTCAAAGCTTTTCTGCTTATACCCAGGCAGAGGGTATTAGAATTTTGTCACGAAGGCGACGTCTTTGACACCATAATTAATATATTCATATATTCTCGATATCAAGAGTTGAGTTGATAAAATATGTATGTCAGAAAGCTAGTTTGTATGCAATTGTTTAATTTAGTTCCCGTAGATAAATAAGGTCAAAATAAGACAAATTTTTGGCCATATCATTGTCGACGAAGGCAGTCGGGCCGATAACTATATTCAATAAAGCTGATACTATGATTGCTTATAATTTCGGTATGACGAAATCATTTTTATGTCGAGTAAAACTAATATTATTAACTAATAGATATTTTCCCGAAAAATTACACCATTTTTCCCCTACAAAATTTAGTATTTCTTCTTAGCTGTCTGTTTTTGAATTTTCCGTTGGTAGATGGTCCCTCGGTCGATACTCATGTGAAATCTTATCGGCACTTGACTCATTATGGCACTGTTAGCATAATTATTCTTATTTCTTAATTATTTAAGTCAAATTAAGTCAAATATAAATACTTCCCTGCACATTCTTTATCTACGGGAATGAAACTCAGCCAGTACACTCGTCTTTTTGATTGCCCCCATTATATACTCCTGTAATGCTCAACCTGTTAATCAGAAAGAAGTAATATCGATACTATGAAGTTAAATTAAAAATGACCTTATCGATATTTTAACCATCGGTATTTCGGATATCGCTAAATTTGTTAAGGGCACACTGTGCACATGCACGTGTAAATAAGTTTTTCGTGTATTTTACTTGAATAGTGCGGAAATGGTGAGTGGAACTGTGTTAAATGTTTTAACAACTAATATTTAATCGACGTTGAATTTTAGCGTAAGAAACAGCACGATGAAATACCTGGCTTTCCGTTATTGGAACAGAGTGGCACCAGCGGCGGCAACGATGACATACTTAAAAGCAAACCAAAATCGAAAAAGAGCGGTGGCTTCCAATCCTTAGGTCTGGGATTTGAATTGCTGAAGGGCATAACTAAACGTGGATACAAGGTACCCACGCCCATTCAGCGAAAAACCATTCCATTGATTTTGGAGGGACGTGATGTTGTAGCCATGGCCAAAACAGGCTCCGGCAAAACCGCCTGCTTTCTTATACCTATGTTTGAGAAGTTGCAGCGCCGCGAGCCAACAAAAGGAGCACGTGCTCTGATCCTATCGCCGACACGTGAACTGGCTGTGCAAACATATAAATTCATTAAGGATCTGGGTCGTTTTATGGAGTTAAAGACAATTTTAGTACTGGGCGGTGATTCCATGGATTCGCAATTTTCAGCTATACATACTTGTCCAGATGTTATTGTAGCTACGCCAGGACGCTTTCTGCATTTGTGTGTAGAAATGGACCTGAAACTAAACTCAATAGGTATGCCACAGCAAATAATTATATTCGATAAACTCTAACAGACATTGCTCTATTCCATAGAGTATGTGGTGTTCGATGAGGCCGATAGGCTTTTCGAAATGGGATTTGGCGAACAATTGAACGAAACGTTGCATCGCTTGCCTTCCTCTCGCCAAATGGTTATGTTCTCGGCCACGCTGCCCAAGCTTCTGGTGGAATTCGCACGAGCTGGACTTAGCGATCCGGTGCTTATACGCTTGGATGTTGAATCCAAGCTGCCAGAAACACTGGCTCTCAAATTTTTGTACTGTCGACCAGATGACCGCTATACAGCATTGGTGGTCCTGTTGAAATATGTGATACCCCAGCAGGCACAGACAGTCGTCTTTGCGGGTACACAGCATCACGTCGAGCTTATTTCATATGTGAGTAAAGTCTAATTCAGTTTTTGAAACTATTTATATTTATTAATTAATAATTATTAATTTTATTTCAGATACTAACTCAGGCGGGCATATCCAACACTTCAGTGTATTCCAGCTTGGACCCATCTGCACGTAAAATCAATACTGCAAAATTTGCTAGCAAAAAGGTTTCTGTTCTTATAGTCACAGATGTAGCCGCCCGCGGCATTGATATACCCAGCTTGGATTATGTTGTTAATTTACATTTTCCGGGGATACCGAAACTATTTGTGCATCGTGTGGGACGTTGTGCTCGTGCAGGTCGTACTGGCACTGCCTACTCTATATTCTCCACGGATGATACAGCACACTTGCTAGACTTGCACTTGTTTTTAAATAGGCCATTTAATATCAATGATAGCTCATCTATAGGTACTATACCACAAGACCTGCTTGAAGAGGAGTATCTGGGCGTGGCTGAGATCAAGAAGAGTCATCATATAGTAAGTTATGGCATTTCCATTCCTATAGAGCTGTGTATCTGACTGTGTATTTTACAAACAGGCGGGCGTGCTACGCACCAGTGAGAATGCGTACAAAAAATACTTGAGCTCTCGTCCCACAGCATCCACAGATGCTAATGCACGTGCTAAGAAGATTAAATTTTTTGCTTTAAAATCACTTGAGGATTTTTTCGATGCTGCCCCTGTGCTGGAGCAAGCCGCTAAAATATCTGGTCAAAAGCTAGATGCCAATTCAAAAGCTGAAGTAGCAGAATCTGAGCGTAAATTGGAAAATGAGAAACATGACATATTAGTCCAAATGAGAAACTTTCGGCCATGTGGTGTAAGTCGAGACAATAGCTAATCAGAAGTCCCTTTTCATATTATATTCATGTTTTAGACCATTTTTGAACTGAACACCACACAGAAGTCTGTGCCGTTCGTTGTTATGAAGAACAAACGTTCACATCACAGCGAAGTCATTGAAAAGTTTCGCCAACAACGCAATAAGGAGGATGTTGATGAAGCTCAAAAGATGGCGGATGCCCAGAAGATAAAACCCATTAAAACTGCTGATGATGAGTCGATAACTAACACGTTTAAAAAAGTTGTCGCGCCGAAAAAACGGCAGAATATGGAGGCTCTATACAAGGAAAAACCAAAAAAAAAGAAACGCAAGTTGCAAACCAAGGACGAGGAGAACTATGTACCTTATCAGTCAGTGGATAAACATACCGAGGATGGCCTTGCCATCAACTCATTTGAGCGACAAGCCCGGAATGCCGAGTTTTCTGTGGTAGATCGCTCCGCAGCACAGGATACAAAGCACAAGCCAGGACTTAAGAAATGGGATCGCATCAAAAAGAAAATGGTTTCGGTTCAAGATCCGCGCGCAAACAAAATACGCACAGAATCTGGCGCTTGGA